GTGTGTGTGTGTGTGTGTGTGTGTGTGTGTGTGTGTGTGTGTGTGTGTCTGTTGGCAACATACAAAGCTGAACAGCAAGGCCATGGCGTCCTGTAATTGACATCACAGGAGGTGTGAAGCGATTGCATGGTTTTGCTTTCCTGCATACACTGAGAACTGAGCCCCTCCACACATTTGTTAGTTACTGCTGTTAAGGGCAAACAGAGTGAAAGCCTAAGACCCACGCACACAGTTCTGGCTTTAACTTGGAAAGACACGATTCTTCGTTTTCATCCAAGGGCTACAGGATGCAACGTTCTCTAGGTTTTGATGCAACTGGGTGGTGTTTGCAAATACTTCCAAGGCAAGGCCTTAAACTTTTTTTTTTAATGACACCTGTACGTTCACCAAACAATATGAAGAATACCTAAAGTGTCAAGTGTACAGAATTTGAAGGATTTCATGGGACTTGTTGTATCAAAATTCATTTCCATCTACTTTGAAGCCATGAGATTTGAGTTCTGTACTGTTTCAAGGTTTAGCTCTCCTGGTTGGAAGCCTGTGAGGTCCTGCATTTCTCCCTCCCCCATTGCCACACCCTTCCCAATCCCTGGGGCCTTACTGAGATGCCTATTGATAGGCTCCTGCCCTCCTCTGCCTTAGTACACCAGCTAGACTGAAGTCCTCCCCAGATGCACCTTTCTTCTCAGAACCACAGAATATGCTACTGTAGCAAAAGTGTCCCAGTAAGTGCCACTGGTTGAGATGGGGCCACACTGGATAAAGAATTCTTAGTCCAACCCAATTTATATTCTTTTAAAAACAGACAAGAAGACATAGGGAAGGTGGCATAGATTGGAGCAGGGAGCCAAAGGACAGCTTGCCTCCACCAGAGCAGGGAGGCAAGAGAGGCTCCTGATGCAACCTACAGAACAGGCTCTGCTCCCACTTAGGTTTTTGATTTCCAGTCTTCAGACCTATAAGCTGGTGCTTGAGCTTTGGTTGTTGTAAGGGACCCAGTTTTGTATTCATATGGGACAACAGCCCTAGGGAGTCATGACTTCTCCACTATCTTTCCTAAGTACACGGAGGTGACTTTTTTTTAAACTTTTATTAATTACACTTTATTCATTTTGTATCCCCCCATAAGCCCCTCTGTCCTCCCCTCCCGGTCACACCCTCCCCCCCTTTCTGCATGCATGCCCCTCCCCAAGTCCACTGATAGCGGAGGTGACTTTTTAATTGGCTGCCTTATCTCAGGCCCAAGGCTTCCTCCAACTCCTGTCCTATCACTGCTGGAAAGTATAAATCTCACACACAGCCCAACAGACCTCTCAGGATGAACCTCATAGGAGCCTCCCTTTCCTACAGCATGAAGCCTAAGCCTTGGTTATGAGAAGGGATGCGGTCTTGTTCCTTTTTGCCTCTCCCTACCCCAGAGTCAAAAAATACACCCCATACTTCAAAATTATCTCCACCATCCTTGCAGGGCCAGGGCCTATAGGACGAGCCTTGGTTACAGACACTCTGAGTTACTGTCCTTCACCCATGAAGCCTTCCTCAGTGCTTTGAAATAGTATTCCCCTACTTTGCCTTGGTGCTCCGTCAGCTGCCTGTACACATTCCTCCCACAGCACATGAAGACTCAGTTCTCTTTTCCTTTTTTTTTTCTTTTTTCTTTTTTTTTTTTTTTTTTTTTTTTGTTATTTATAAGTCCCTGGTATTCCTTAGGTTTTCTGAGGAAGTAACTATGTCTGACACAGGAACAAAAAACTACTGCAAGTTAATAGCAGTATCCTGTCTTCAGTCATATACAGCTTGAAGGACCTCTGGGGGACGTCCAGTCATCAGTTAATTAGTGAGCTCCTGAGAGACAGGCTCTGTGGAGAGGAGAACGTTCACCCCTAAGAGAACACTTACCACAAGATGGTGGCTGCCCTTGCTGCCGAGTGCCAGGGATCTCTATTCCCTGAGCATCTACACACCAGCACATCCCTTCCGTCTGGCACTGTACTGCTTGGTAGTCCCCACTTCTGTGGCAGCTCGGAATGTATGAGTGACCAAAGCTAGTGGCAGCAAACTGTTCTACTTCACACTTGGTGGGGCCTAGAAGAGACCACACAGCAAAGGAGATAAGCGTGAGTAAGTTCTGTGTGTCCACAGCCTGCATGGATATTTGCCGTCCCAGAGCTAAATCCCTAAACTTACTTTGGTGCAACAGCTGTGTGGATGTAAGCTCATATCTGTTACTAGCTAGTTACTTACATCGGAATCTTCCAGAGATGACTAACTGAATGGCCAGGAAGCGTCTCTGCAATATCCGGTACATGGTGCTTTGAGTGAAGGTGGAGGTCCGGTCCAAGCCAGCAAAAATGGTGTCATAAATTTCATCCAGTAGCAACTCCAAACCTGAGCAAATGCAGATATCATTTCTGGGATGGGCTCCCCAGGAAAGAAAGTTCTAGCCTTGCTGAGATAGCAGATGTCAGAATGTCAGAGTCTGTGCCAGCAGCATTATGCAGTGGGTCCAGGTATGTCCATCCTTTCTTTAGACATTGCAAGTTGTCATCACTTACAAAGTTCATGCTCGAAAACCACGCAACGGAGTTACAAAACAATAGAAATGGTGACAATGTTTCAAGTAGGTTTGTGGTTTTTATAGGGCCACATCTGGGCCATAGGTTGGACATGCCAGGAATAGTACTTTAATAGTTTACAAAGTCAGGGCTGCTGTTGTTGCTGTGTGGGTTTGAAAGCACAGAGGAATGTTTCCTAGGGAATGAGGCTGAAAACCTGTCCTGTCTTCCACTTATCACTAAGCAAGGTGAGCACCTCTTTCAGCCTGCAGAGACACCAACACGAGCAAGCAGGAACTTCAGCAGAGTACCAGAGACGCAATCTGGCTAAGGCTGTGTCTTCTTCCACACCCATAACAACCTAACAAGGATGTAGCATGCCAGTGCTATTTTTGCCTTAGGCACTAGACTCCAAGAATTACACTTGATCCCTTCACATTGCCAGAAGTGTGGCTGATTACCTGTCTCAGCCAGCTCCCGCCCCTGGCTGTCAGCACAATAGCAGTACCCAGACACTTCAGGGAACCTGCTCCGGAAGGAACTGAAGGTCACAAATGCATCTGGAAACCTGACAGAAAGGAAGATGCCTGGTCACCATTTCATAAACGATGACTCATCCTTGATCAAAATCAATGGGGCAGAGGCCTCAGCTGGGAAACTGCATTTGCAGCTCTTCGCTATGTTGGCTTAACTTAGCCAGAGCAAGGTTAGACTATGCTTAACTAGCTTATACCAATTAGCCCTTTTTCTCATGTGTGGCATTTGGGCATTCGGTATTCACACACCTGTCTCGGAGGACCAGAGAGAAAGCAAATCATGAGTACTACATCAGCTTCTCCAACAGAGCAACAGCAGAGTCCAAAGGCCAGATTTGTGTTACAAGTATATGGCAGGAGGCAGAGGGTCTCGTTTTGTGAGAGCAACTGCTTCCAGAGCTTTCTACAGTTTTTAAGAGCTTGTGAAGAAGAAGCCAGATTCTGTTGCAGGAGATCTGTAAGGAGGAAAAGTTTCCATTCCATCATTAAGTGCTACAAAATCCAAACTATTTCACCATTTGTCCCCGTAAGCTGAAGAAACGCTTGTCTTTCCTGGAGAAGGCTAAATGGAGCCCATTTTCTGGGTCCCCATTTTTGCATTTGAGGAGACTAAAGTACTAAGAGTCATTGAAGCCATCCTCCCATGGACAACGAGGTAGTCAGCAGAGAATTTTTCTTCTTTATTCAATACCAGGAGATGTTTCATGTCCTATGTAACTAGTGGATTACGTTCAGGTGAACGCTTCTACCTGTGTCTGAAAACCTCTGGCCTATGTGGCTCTCCACACACAGAGTCCTACTGCTACACAGTAACTTCTAGCAGAATGCTAAAACAACCTGCACATCCAATGGTGGTGAAATGAAGTGAATTATATTTGAATTATATTAACCCCCCCCAAATACTACCGATGAGGGTGATACTCATTAAAGAGCATAAGGAAATATCATTGAAAATGGAAAAGTATAAGACAGCAAATACATCATAATAATTACCACAAAAATTCAGCTCTGAAAGGCAATGTTTTGGGGAGCACTTTCCAGTTCTGAAGATGCAGAGACCCAAGTATTAGTTCACTCACACGGAAGATGTGCGCACGATATCAACTGGTTCGTTCCTTACCCGAGGTAACTCTAGAGTCCAAAGGCCAAATTTGCCTTAGAAATACATGAAAGTGCTATGGAATTACAATTCTGTTACAATGTTGCTTGTCCATTATTGTGGGCTTGTGGTTTATGTGGAAATGAGGGCTGTCATAAGTGGATTGAAAAAGTAGAAAGGAAAAGCTCCGTTTGCTTTGTTTCCACAGAAAGGGGATATATAATTTTAAAGTTTTCCAGGCAGTGGTGGTGCACATCTTAATCCCAATACTTGGGAGAAAGAGGCAGGTGGATCCCTATAAGAGTGAGACCAGCCTGATCTATAAGCTGAGTTCCAGGATAGCCAGGGCTACACAGAGAAACCCTACCTCAAAACGAAAGAAAGAAAGAAAGAAAGAAAGAAAGAAAGAAAGAAAGAAAGAA